TGGTCTTGATACAGGTGTCAGGATCGTAGAAGAGCTTGCTCATCTTCTTCCTTGAAGGCAGCGCTGTCTCTACCCAGGGCAGCTCAGAAAACAACTGAGCAATAAGGGAATATGTATTGTTTGCTGGTGGGTAAACTGAGGCCTGGGGAGACTTCACAGCACACCTAGAGCTGGCCTGGCCAGATGAGGCCATTCTGTCTCCTTGGAACACCAGGCAGGAGGCTGCTCCACCAGTGCTCCTCTGCAGGCTAGGCCTATGCCATGCTGGGGCCACAGCCCTGGCCTTTCCAGCCACAAGAAAGGCCTGGCTATTTTTGCCCAGAGGGCAGGCCCCTGGGGCCTTGGGGGCTGTGTAATTAGAAGTGGCCCTGGGTCCATGAGGGGCTGGGACTGGGGGCTGTGGTGGGCTAGGCGGCCGCCCAGGCTTAGCTCGGGAGGACCCTGGCAGAGACCTAAGCTGGGCCAGTGTGTCCCCGGCTCTCCCTCCTCAGCAGGACCACTCAGCAGGGTGGGGGCCATGGCTGTTAATTGCATGGTGGGTATAGGGCGGGGTCTTTGAAGTGCTTCCAGGCTGGGCAGAGGGCTTGGGACCGCTTCAGGCTTCTGAAATTATAGGTTGTACATGAGTGGCCCAGCCTCTTCTGCACCACAGGCCTGCCCACACCCTTGGAGCTACAGCAGAGGCAGGCCACAGGGAGCGTCCAGGCTGGGTCTCACACATGTCCCCAAACTGAGGGACGTGGAGTATGAGACAGTTGGGAAAGACGAGGCCCAATGCAGTGAGCTCTCAGAGTTGGTCAAAACCTGAAGAGAGCTGAGTGGACACCAGAGTGCTCATTCACACAGCTGACAGTATTTACTGAGTCCTGACTGTGTTCCAGGTACTGTCATGGACGCTGGAGTTAGGGAGTAGACAAAACAGGCAAAGTTCCTGGTCCTAGCAGACCTGGCTCCTCCACTCCTGCATGATCACAATCTTGGGGAGCTGTCTTAATGGCACCAGGCTCCCCGCCATCTTCCACAGGGACTTTGCACATGCTGTTTTCTATGCTGGAAAACCTCCTTCATCCTTGCCTTCCTAAATTCCTCCTTCTCAGCTTCAAGGGCAGTTCTACTGTCACCTCCTCATGGAGGGGGACCTGGGGCCAGAAAAGCCCTCTGGCAAGTACCTCCTTTACTGGTCTCTGACCCACTCTCACAATTGTTAGCTCAGGGTGCAATTAGAGATTCATTTGTTTGCTTACTTGCTTATTGCAGGCCTCCCTGCCTCTGTGTCCTCGGCATTGTCTCCAGGCCAACTGTGGCCTGGGTGCGAAATAAGGGCTCTGCAAATTGAATGAATGAAATGTGGCTTGTTCCTGGGCCGGAGCCCGAGGGCTGTCAGCTCGCTGAGTGCCAGGCCTAACCCCATGCTTAGCTATGGCCCGGGGAAGGGCAGTGATTTGTGTAGTCACCTGTGTTGGGGCTGGAACCAGGAGGCATGGTGGGGGCATGGGGCTCCTTTTGTCCCTTTGTGTCTGATGGTGACAAACACTTGCTGCTCTGTTCTCAGACTGTGCATGTGGGGGAGGTGTCAGTCTAAAGGAAGTGCACCTGTGTGTGTTCTTTCTGTGTGTGAGTATGTGTGTGTCCATGTCTTCCTACGTATGTCTGCCACGTATGCATGTATGTGTGTATGTGTACAATGTCTTTTTAAGTATGTGTGCGTGTATGCTCGTAAGTGTACATGTGTATGTGTGTATTGTCTTCGTATGTGTCTGTGTGTGTGTGTGTGTGTGTCATTGTGTGCATGTGTGTCTGTACAGGTGTGTCACTGTGGTCTGGTGGCCCTTTGACCAGGATGATGGGGCTGGGACAGGCCCCTATTACAGGGAACAGTGAGTCATAGGTGTGGTGATAAGTTGAATTTTCAGATGTCCAGACACAGGGCTGGTGCCCAAGAAAGGGCGGTGACCCCAACCTGCCATCAGATCCTGGGCAGGTGATCCCACCACGAGCCTCATCTTTCCTTATCTGTCGCATGGGTGTAACTGACTCACTCACATCTCCCCAAACAAGAAGGAGCCCGTGGGTTTGAGGCACAGTGCCAGGCTCTATGGGGAGAAGGAAAGCCCATGGTCTGGAGAGTGGAGCTTCCAGCTCTGCTAGAGCAAGTGATGGTGATAGTGCTGCAGTCTGCATCCAGACTCAGCCCACCACAGACTGAAATATGGCAAAAAAAAAAAAATAAATATTGCACCTGCTGGTCTGGAAATTGCATCTGTCCATGGGCAGACTTTCCCTCGCCAGCTCCCTAGACAAGGCGGTATAACAACATCTTAGAAGGTATTTGGAGCCTATCAGGTACTAAGTCAGGTAGAGGTGGTTTAAAGTACCCCGGGGTGGGGTTCTATGCCAGGGATTGAGCATCCATGGACTTTACAGATCTGGTTCTGGAGTCATCCCCAGTGAGCACTAGAGGATGACTGTTTTCCACCTTGGCACAGGAGGCAGGTCCGACGCTACTTACCCCAGCGAACCCCTGATGTGTGCAGCCTACCCTGAAGCTAAAGAGCTTTGCAGGTGTGGTTAAGGATCGGAAATGGGAACATCATGCTGGATTTTCTAGGTGGCCCACTGTCATCCCAAGGGGTCTTCGCAAAGGGAACGGGCAGAGAGAGCCAGGTGGCACAAGAAGGACTCAGCCCACCGTGGCTAGGAGAGGGTGGAGGATGAGGCCTGCAGCCAAGGGATGCAGGAAGCTTCTGGAAGCACAAACAGACAAAGAAAAAGGTTCTGCCCTGCAGACTCGGCATGAGCAGAAGGCCTGGACACCTTGCTGCTTAGCTCGGTCTGACCCATTTCAGACTCCTGAGCACAAGCGCCTGCAAGATGATAAATGCAGCTTGTTCTGATCCAACCCGTCTGTGATATTTTGTCACAGCCACTGTAGGACGTCACACACTTGGCATCTGGCCCCTGGGTCTTTAGAAAGTCAAGCACTTTCCTTCCCACTGGCCCCTCCCATTTCCCCAGTGGCTTTGGGATTTTAGGGATTCTTCACCCCCATTTTTACAGATAGAGACACAGGCTGTATGCGAGCGGGATGTGGTGGAGGCGGGATTTGAACTTGGATCTTTCTTGGAACTTTTTAGGAGCATTGTTCTACCCTTGATGGAGGAGTGCCAATAAGGGTGGGCTTTGGGACCCACCCTCCCTGGGGCAGGGCCTGTTGAGTGGGCTGTGGCCCTGGCCTGTTGGGTTCAGGGCTCCCTCCCCTGGAGGTGGCCCTGGAGAGGTCTTAGACCAGTCCTTGGCATCAGCTAGGGCTACAACCCTCCGGATTATCTTGAAGTGGGTGCAGCTCTTTTTCTGTGGCGGTCCCTGGGACCCCCGTGCCATGCATGAGTGTGAGCATCTGTTGGTGAACCAGCCCCTGGTCCCTCCAGAATGCAGGGTTTGGGGTAATCTTAAGAGAAACAGGAAAATCTTTGGTTTGGGTCGTGAGCAGGGGCTTCAGGGACCATCACAAAGAATGACCATAACCAGCTAGTCCTGGCTCCTACATTGTGGGTGGTAACCTCCAAACTTTCACTGGCTCCCTACTGCCTCTGGGATTAGTCAGGGAATTTGTTTTGTTTTGTTTTGCGTTACTGGGAATCGAACCCAGGGCTTCAAACATGCTAGGTCCCCTACCACTTGAACCACACTCCCAGCTCTTTTGTCTATATTTTGTTTTTGAGGTAGGGTCTTGCTAACTTTGCCCGCACTGACCTTAAACTTTCGAGCCTCTTGCCTCTGCCTCCCAAGTAGCTGGGATTACAGATGTGTGCCCATGTGTGCTCTGAATGAATCAGCAAGATTTCAGCCTGCACCTACTGACATCTCCACCCCTCCTCCCTTCACTCCATGCTATGGCCTTGACCATGACTGCCAGCCCCTGTGCTGGTCCTCCCATCTGGGTGCCTTTCCAGGTCTCATCTGTCTTAGCTGATCTGGCCCACAGGCAGGGTTCGGGGCTATCCTCCCTGCCTCTTTCCCTCAGTGCATGCATCAGCTTGTGATGGTGACTCCCAGAACCCCTTGCCCGCTCTCTCCTGCTCATACCCCTTCTGCTTTGCAAATAGCAAGCTGCCCCAGGCGTTTCTCCTAGGAATCATGTGGATGAATCTGGAAGCCCATGAGTGTCCAAAGGCTGGGCCATGTCTGTTTCTCCCCTGGAACCTGCTTGGCACAACATGTGCCGTATGTACCAAGCATTGGTATGGTGAATGAATGAGTGCGTGCAGGAATGCAGGAACACCAGGGGCCTTGGGGCCACTGGACTTCCCAGGCCAGCTGGATCCTGGTTCCAGGGCTGCCAGCAAGTCACCTCTTGGTTGAGCCACTTGAATTCAACTGGCCTCACCTTCTCCTCTGTGAAATGGGCCGGTAACTCCTCTCAAGCTACATCATTTGGGGCATTGTGAGGCCACAGAGCCTCAGAGCCATGAGGGCTCAGCAAGCTTTCTTCTCACCCCTATGGATGGGGAAACTGAGGCCTGCAGAGGGGAAGGGCCTGACCAGAGCAGGTGTCTGAATTCAGCTCCCTGCCTCAAGCCTGCGCCCTCCACATTTGGCCTCCCTTCAACCTACCCAGCTCCCACTCTGCACCCCAGCCTGGAAAACCTGAGTCACAGCTGGAAGCCACGATGGGGAATTTTCCTTCCCACTTCCAGGGGCCTGCAACCTCCTTGACCTCGTCCCGTGTGGATTGGGGGGGTGCCACAGAACCCCAGCTTGTGTTCTGGTGAAGTGTTGGAATGGCCCCCTCTGTCTGTCTGAGCCTGCCCTGGGGACTCAAGGTCAGGGAGGAAGCACAGTGGTGGCGTCTGGCCTTCCCCAGAAAGAGCAGAGTGAGAAGAGGGTGGGATTGTGTGTGGCCCAGTGCAGCCCCGCCCTCCCCCAGTCCCCACCCCAAACGCTCTTAATGAAATCAAGCTGGCCCCACAGCCCAGCAGGGAGAAGAAGGAGAAGGAAGAAGGAGGGAGGAGGACGAGGCAGGCGGGCGCCAGCCAGAGCAGCCTCTCCTCGGCCCAGGCGCCCTGGCTTGTCCACCTGGAGGAGCACCCAGGCCTGTGGGGAACTGGTGAGTCCCCTGCGGGGAACCGCTCTGTCCCCAGCATCTGGGCTGTCTTGGAGTTCCAGGCTGGGGACCGTTGGGGCACTTTGCAGGCGTGCTCTGATGTGCGTTTGAGGTTGTGCACATGTGTGGTGCAGCGTGTGTGCCTCTGGGATCCCCATGTGGGGGCCAGGGTGAAGAGGGGTGTGTGTGTGCGGCCAGGGCCTGCGGGTGAGGTGCGTGCTCTGCAAGTGGATGGCAGGGTGTCACCCCATCAGGACGGGGGTGGTGTGGAGCGCTGTGCCCCGTGCTTGGGTGAGAGCTATGTCAGGGGTGTGCTGCATCTGTTGTGTGGCCCGGTGTTCTCTGTGTGTCCCTGGCTGCTGCTGGTGGGGAGGTATGGTGTGGTGTGGTGTGTGTTTGCATGTCTGGGTTTGGAGCCCTTAGAAACCATTTCTTCCTCCAGCCTCCCCTGAAAGACGCAGGTCCCTGTCCTTCGCTGGCCCCAGGCCGGTGAGCAGAGGGGATGCAATGCTTCAGGCCAGACCCCTCCCCCCAGGGCCACTAATTGAAGCCAGGTTTCCGTGGGCTGCCCCTCCCCCTCTGGTCACAAGTCTCTGGGTGGGGGTAGGGAAGCACTGGCCCCTCAGCCGCAGATCAGGGGTGCCCAGGCCTGGGTGGGTTTGGATCATCTGAAGCCATGTCAGTCTAGTGAGGCCACTGGTGCTCTCGGGCACTACTTACTGCTGGGACTCATCCAGCAGAGTGGCCCTACCCGCATTGCACAGATGTGGGAACAAGCTCAGAGGAGGATCCCTGGCTATTCTGAGCTGCCTCTCTTCAGGCCTCCACTGGGCTTGGCTCCAATTGCTGTGCCACTCTAGACAGGCCATTCCCAGTCTCTGGGCTTCAGTTTCCTCTTGAGTGACAGAAGAGGGAATGGGCTGGACCCCAGTCCCTAGTGGTCTGGGATTCTGAGTCTGTGTTCAGGTAGGACCAAGGAGGCCAGGCCCAGCTCTTCCCAGGAGGACAGTGAGGGGTCCCTGGCAGGCACAGCCATCATTTCAGAGCTGTGCTGGCCAGTTCTTCCATTTTATAGATGGGAAACCAAGGCCCAGAGAGGGCAAGGGACCTGGCTGGGGTCACACAGTCATCCCCTGTGAGGCCAGGCTGGCTCCATGCAAGGCTCTGTCCCCATACTTGCTGCCACCTTTTTCAAAGAGCCAGAAGAGGCTGGGGGTGTGGGGGACTCTGACAGTTGGGGTCTTAGTTTCTTAAGAGCCAGTGATAGTTTGTGTGTCCTCCTTCCATGTCCTCTACCCACGACTCCAAGGCACCAGGGGGAGAAAGTCCTTTCCTGTAGCTGCTTCATTGTGTGTGTGTGTTAGAGTTGGGAGGGGAGCAGAGGTGGTTGGTCCTGTATTTCTCTTGGCCAGAGCTGACAGTAAAAAAGTTGTCCTTTTCCTGGGGGTTAGGGAGGCCCTGAACAAATGTTCACATCAGGTGACGGCAATTATTGAGCTGCAGAAGGGAAGTGCTGGCTAGTTCTGGAGCTCTCTGCTCCTGAACTCAACCTTTCCTGGGTGAAAAGCCACCCTGTGTTGGCAAACTTTCAGAATGTTCTCTCCTGTAGTCCTAATGTCTCTGTGGGGCTCAGTTGTGGTCTCCCGCTGCCCATTTACAGATGGGGAAAGTGAGGCCTAGAGGATCAGCTAGCAGAGCTAGACACAATGGAGACAGAATGCTAGCCCCAGCCCAAGGCCAGGCAGCTGCCCAGCTGACATTCGGCACACTGCTGCCTAAATACTTCCTTGTTGCTCAGCCCCCTGTGGTCACACAGCCTTCTGTAGCAGTTAAAGGTCTCAAATGGTGTGAGTGGCAGAACACAGACTCCACAGTCCAGGGGTCCATAGGAAGTGCAGTGTGGAGCTCCTAGGGCTCACTTAGCATCTCCTCTCTTTGTCCCACAGAGAAACGATGCTCACAGGGGTGGGGGTCACTCCTGGCTGGAGTGGGATGTGGTGGATGAGTGTGGAGACTCCCAGAACCAGGGAGAGGAAGGTTCCACTTCCAGCCCTGCCAGGGCCCATCTGTGCGTCCTTGGGCAAGTCTCTGTAGACTCTGAACTGAATGGCATTGCTTCTGTAGGATTGAAGCCTGAAAGAGGGCTTCGGGGTTACTCTGGGATGGAAGCCAGAAGGACTAGCTCATTTTAAAGGAGCCTGGAGGGCTGGGGGTGGGGCCCAGAGGTAGAGATTTGCCTAGTGTACAAGAGGCCCTGGGCTCCATCCTTACCAGCACAGAGAAAGAGAAAAATAAATAAAATGAGCCTCTTGGTAGTTTGGCCTCTTCTTAATGTCCTGGAATTAGTTTGTGCTTTTTGTCATCTGAGCCAGTTTGACTAAATCCACATCAGTACCATCTGTAGCTTCAGGCTTTCTAGCTTCAGACTCAACCAACCACAGACAGAAGATATTCAAAAAATTAAAAAATGGGCTGGTGGAGTGGCTCAAATGGTAAGAGAGACTGCCTTGCAAGTGTGAGGCCCTGAGTTCAAATCCCACTGCCACCAAAATAAATAAATAACAATGCAACAATAAAAACACACAGCACAACTATTTTGCAAGGCATTTGCATAATTTCAGGTATTAGGAGTACTCTAGAGCAGAAGGATGTGTGCAGGTTCCATACAGCACCAGGTCATTTCATATAAAGGATGTGATTTTGGTGTTCTCAGGTGGGGTAAGGGAAGGGGATCTTGGAACAAGTCCCCTGCCTATACTCAAGGATGCTAGCACAGAATTGGGAGGCCTCAGGTCACCTGGAAATGACATGCAGTCTCATTTCTACCCCACCTCCTGAGTCCTTATAGCCACCCGTGAGCAGGCAATGTGACCTATAGTCACTTAGGTGCTGGGACCTCAGCTTCCTCCTCCAGCCGAGGGACTTGCTATGTGGCCTTGCCCTTGCTCTGTGTCTGCTCTGGCCCTCTCTTTCTTCATTTCAGTCCCTGAGCAGGGAGCTCAGACAGAGGATCTGGAAGTTTTTCTGACTTAGAGTTTTGAGCTCTAGCCAACCCTAGGGACCTGGGCCCTCCTCTGGGCTGGGACGTTCTCCTAGGGGACATGGCCAAGGGCCTCCAGGTTTGTCTGACCCCAGACTCCCACTCACATCAGCTGGAAGAACTAGTGTTTTAGGAACTGAGCTTCATCATAAACTCAGGCCATAAAGATTTTATTAATCAGCCTGGCTGTCTGGACCAGATGGGGTCTGGGGGGGGGCGACGGTTCAAGCCAGGAGCAGCAAGGGAGGGAGGCATGGGCTCATCTGCTTCCTGTGTAATGGTGGCTGGAGGTGGCACAGTGTGACAGCTCAGCTTTGTTTCAAATGTGAGGGGTCCCCCTGGGGCCCTCCAAGCCCTGCTTGAGGCCTTGAGGTGAGGCGAGGGCAGTCATGGAGGATACCCTGGGTTCCATCGAGTATGCAGGTCCCCTGTTGAGCTCAGAGGCTTCTGGATAAGGGGGTAGGTCTGGGGTGGGGGGGTCTGAGAAAGTCTGCCTGAGCTGTGAGGAAGTGGTGGTGGAGCCACTGTGGCTGGTGATGCGTGGGGTGTGGCTGGAAAGGAACTGGTCCCTGGGGCAGGGGCTCTCTGGGTGGGGGTGTCACTCTACTCCTAGGTCACCCATTCAGTGCATCACTTAGTCAGCCAACTTCTCTCCTTTCATGCCTCCCACCAAATCCTAGCTATCAGTTAACCCCTGGGCCTCAGTTTCCTCACTACAAAATGTGCCTGCTCCACTGGGTACGTACCAGGATTCATGGGAACCCATGGAAATGTGAGCTAGCCTTATTAATTCAGCCATGTCAGTCCAGATTCGTCAGTTGAGCACCTACTGTATATCAGATATGGTACAACACCCTCCTCCCTGCCCGAGGATGCCAAGATAAGTAGAATTCAGTTCTTGTCCTCTAGAACTGCAGAGGGAGGTAGGCGAACAGGTGTGCATCACATGTATTAAAGAACAGCGTCCACTGTACAACGGGGAGCCCAGCCACAGGAAGGGAGATGACTTGCTGGTCTATGTTCTGTGTCCCCTACAGTCCCTAGGGCTTGGGGATCCCCGTGACCAGGTCCTGAGACCGTGGAAATTCACTCTGACTCCTCCTTCCCTCATTTGCCCACAGGTCCAGGAGGCAACATGGTCCCCAGCCTCTTCCTCTCTCTTCTGCTGCTCCTGAGCCCTGCACCCACTGCCACCCACTCTGTGTCCCTGCCAGCTGCCTTCCTGGAGGACATGGGGGGCAGTGGGGAGGCTGAGGGCTCGTCAGCCTCCTCCCCGAGCCTCCCACCGCCACAGACCCCGGCTCTCAGCCCCACATCAGTGGGGCCCCAGCCCACGCCCCTGGGAGGGCCCTCGCCCCCCACCAACCTCCTGGATGGCATCGTGGACTTCTTCCGCCAGTACGTGATGCTCATTGCTGTGGTGGGCTCCCTGACATTCCTGCTTATGTTTGTTGTCTGTGCAGCGCTCATCACTCGCCAGAAGCACAAAGCCACAGCCTACTACCCATCGTCCTTCCCCAAGAAGAAGTACGTGGACCAGAGTGACAGAGCCGGGGGCCCTCGGGTCTTTAGTGAGGTCCCTGACAGGGCTCCTGACAGCCGGCCTGAAGAGGCCCTGGATTCCTCTCTGCAGCTCCAGGCTGACATACTGGCCGCTACCCAGAACCTCAAGTCTCCAGCCAGGGCTGCCCCAGGGAGTGGGGAGGGAGCCAGGCAGGTGGCAGGCAGGCAGGAGGATGTGACCCAGGGCAGGCAGGAGGATGTGATCCAGGAAGCCTCCGTGGAGAAACCAGAGGTCCAGCAGGAGTTGTGCTCAGCTGAAGGGGCTCCAGCAGCTGGCAAGGGCCAAGAGGAGCCAGAAGTGTCTTTCTCCTTAGCCCAGGAAGCCCAGACACCAGCAAGTCACCTTCCCCCCGAAAGTCCCTGTGCATGCAGCAGCGTCTCCCCCAGTGTCTAACAGGCTCCAGAGCTGCTGGCCTCCACTGTGGGACCCCCAGTGGTTGCCTCCTTGGGCAAAAAAAGGCTTTCATCTCTGACTGTTTCCTCACATACCTTCTTGGCCATCTGGGTGTCAATCCCAGCACGTCCAGACTTCCAGTGGGCAGAGATGCTGGTCTCTGGTTAACCCCAAGAATGCCTCTGCAGTCCCAAGGGGCTCCCTGCCAAGGCCCAGCTCTGTGGGGACATGCAGGACCGATGTCTCCATTAGAACCATCACAAAACATCCCCCGACATGAGTCGCAGGGGTTGGAAAGCACAGTTCAAAGGTCCCTTTGTGAGGGAGCAAATATTGCCATTTTTCCTTGGAGGTAGCAGAGAAAACCAGATTAACGAGGAGTTTTGGAAGAGGCTGATGGGACACGCCAAGGAGAAGGAGCCCAGGGCTGGGAAACAGCCTGGTATCAAGCAGTATTTTAGAATTGTGACACGCCCCATTGTTTGCATCTCCCCAACCCCAGGATGTGTTGAAGTTGCTTTGCCTCTGATCAGGGACCTCACTGATGAAGGAGCTTCTGGAAGAGGGCTGTACATGTATCATGATAGGACTCTCCAGGAGCGGTTTCCAAACCGGGTTCCCTGAGGCACTCCATGGAAACAAGATGTCGAGGTCAAATGAATTGAGAAAATACTGTCTCTGTCCGCCAGCCCCTGCCCCACCCAGAGAGCTCCCCAGTTCCAACACCACGCTAAAGGCTCCTGTTGCATTGGGGTTTTGCTAAGCCTTTCCCAAACTTTTTTTTTTTTTACAGCTATAAAGTCAAATGCTGCCTTTTCCACTCTGGGAAATACAGTTCTTTATTTTCCCAAAGGCACCCTAGTTTCTAGCTGGTCCAGCGTCAGCGTGCAAGATGTAGGGATTCAGATGCATTTCTCATCCTATGACTTGAGTGGACTGCATGAGTTGAACCCTCTCTTGACAGATCCCAAAGCTGCCTGGAAGCTGGGGACTGCACTAAGGGGACCCTCATTCTGGTTTCTAATGCCCAGCCTGAAACAGGGGACCTGGCCACCATCCTTTGCTCACACGTGGTCTGGCAGTCTATGTCCACACCACTCTTCAGTTTTGACAGGGAGCCTGGCCTCCGTCCTGTTTGGGGGAGTCCCCAAGCCCTTCCACCTGGGGTTCCTTCAGCCTCCACACAGTTCTCCAGGAGGAGATGTAACACAGCCGCATAATAAACTTTGATCTGGCCTCAGTTGCACTGGTTTCTGGGGTGGAGGATGCATCTGCAGTGAGGGGCTGTGCGTGGGCTGGGCTTTAGAGGGTGAGGGGACAGTTGGTGTGGACACCCCATTCTATGCTGGGAGCCTGTGTCCTCATGGTGGAGTGCCAGCTACACATGTGGCTTTCCCCCCTGACTGCTATTGACTGTGGCCTCTGAGCAACGCCGTCCCTGCCTCTCTGTCTCTCAAAGACAGAGAAGTGGGGGGCACAGTTGCCATGCACACCACACCCTGGGCTGAGCAGCCTCTGCCTTTGTCTCCCCACCCTCCAGGCTCCTCCTTGCCTTTGATGGCAACTTCCTGTGGCAACTTCTCCCCCTGGTCTGGGCCTGGCCTGGGTCCCAGGAGCTGCCAGCTGGAGTCCAGATGTGTCTAAGGCTGGGAGCAAGTGGGGGGCCCCCCTGGCAGTCCTCGCCTCCAGTGACCCCCACATCCAGCCGGAGGGGGCCTGGGCTTGGGTTTCAGAACACACAATGGCCTCTGTCTGTCGCAGTGGGGAAGGACCCTCCCTCTTCTGCTCAGCCCAGCTTCCTCCTAGGACATAAGGAGAGTTGCATGTGAATGTCGGGGATAGCAGTAAGCTGTGTGGCTCCTGCCCAGTCACTTCTCTGTGCAGGCCTCTCTGCTTATTCCCAAGCTCCTGTAAGGACAGACTCTAGAACAGGGCTGGGAAGTGCATTAAGCTTCCTTGTGACACACAAGAACCCCTCAGAAGCAGACACTGAAGAGCCACAGGGAGCTGGAAGGAAGGCGATGCTCACTGGGGCCCTCTAGAGGGTATGGGGTTTGTGGCCTTACCTGTTGCTTGTGTTCCCTGAGACTGGTTGGGGGGTGAATTGAGGAGGTGGCTTGAGGTCCAGGAGTCAGCATCTGCGTTGTCTCTGAGTTTTTCCAGCTGCTGTTCCTTCTGCCTATGACACCCTTCCACCTTCTTTTCCCCCTCAACCTTCAGCTCCTGGCCTAGGTGTCCCTCCCCTGGGCTCCTTCTGCAGCAGCTCCCCCACAGCCGCACTTCTGCTCCCCAGGCTCAATGACAACAGTAGCTTTCAATGAACCCACCCCTGTCGTGTAGCAGGCGCTGCTCTGAACACTTGATCTCGTTAACTCATTGAACTCACAACGTAGTGAGTTATTCCCATGATTCAGATGTGGAAACTGAGGCCCAGAGAGGTGCCATCAGTTGCCCAGGTCACACAGCCAGGTTCCAGCTCTGCAATCTGACCCTGGCGTCTGCATTCTTTGATAAGCTGTACTTTGAGGAATGAATGAATGAACGAATGGATGGATGCATGGATGGACAGATCGATGAATGGTGAATAAATGGATGGATGGATGTCTTGGGGGAGAGGACAGCAGGGCTCTGCTCCTGTTTACAACCTCACTGATCTGCTCCCTTAGCTGCAGTGAGGCTACCCAGAGAGGCATTTTGTGGACACACATCTGCCTAGCACAGTCAACCGGGAGTCACTGAGGCTGACCACAGTTGGGGTATGGGCTGGGCCAGTCAGAGGCAGAACTAGGCTTGAGGGGGAGATATTCCTGCTGTTCTCTGGGGTCCAGCATCTGCCAGGGCTTGAACAGGCCTCCACTGTCCCAGGACTTGTAAAAGTGTCAGCTGTCCCCAGCCTGGGAGTCCATCTCCCAGCAGGCCTGCTGCCACCGTGGAGGGGGACAGGGAGGGGGGCAGCCAGCAACCACCCTGAGGCCTGAGCCAAACTCAGGGTTTGTGGGAATGGAAGTTCTGGTGACCAGTGAAGGTTGGAGGTTGGTGAATGCTGGAAAGCCACAGATGGGAGCCGGGTGGTGGTGGCAGGAGGAGGGGTGGGGTGCCTTCCCTGGCCCCTGCCCTGCTCTGATCAGCCCCTGGACTGGGATTACACTCAGGGAGAGAGTGGGAGGGAACATCTTTGCTGCGTATATGGATTTGGATCCTAAGGTTAGAATGTCTAAATTCAATCCCAGCTCTGCCCTTTCTGAGCTGTGCATCCTTGGGCAAGTGGCCTTGCTTCTCTGGGCCTCATTTGAATGTGTGTAAAGAGAGGCTGGTTACATCCCATGTGACGGGCGTCCCCACCCTGCATGATGGGATTTTTAAAAACACTGGCTTTCCAGCTCCACTTAGACCAACTAAGTTGGTCTTGGAAGGTACAGCTGGGTGATTGTAATTGCAAGATACAAAGTCCACGAAGAGAGGGCTTCTCCTGGGCTCTGTCCCCACTGCCACCCAGCACTCAGAACGGCACTGGCATGCAGTCGGTCGTGCCCAAGTGTGTGAGGCTGAAGGAAGGAACATGCCAGTGTTCCACCCACAGAGAGGTGAGCAGCCTCTCTGACCCCATTTTACACAGGCTCAGAGGTGTGCAGTGACTTGCCTGAGGTCACACAGCCTAGGCAAGTGTGATATCTGTGATCCAAAGGCTGATGGTGGGGTGGGAGACAATGAATCCATTGTGTTTCATTCTGGGTCTCACTTTCTTGTTTCCAGGCTCCCTGCTCCCTTTTCCCCAGGGGTGGGGTTAACTGTGGTCAGAGCTGCCTTGGTTCTTGTTCATAGAGGTTAGAGCTGTCAAATCTTCCCCAGTGGGAATCAATTTGCCCTCTGGCTTCTGAGGGGTCACGAGGCACAGCAGATTTGTAGCCTCTTTGTTTACCAATCACAGATATATTATGAGATCTATTGTGTGCCAGGTATTGGAGACACATTCTTTTTTTCTTTTTTTTTTTTTTGGCAGTACTAGGGCTTGAACTCAGGACCTCATGCTTGCTTGGCAGGTGCTCTTCTGCTTGAGGCCCGTCTCCAACCCTTTGCACATTGGTTATTCTTGAGATAGGGTCTCGCCTTATCCCAGTCTGGCCTGAGCCACAATCTTCCCATTTGTGCTTCCTGCATATCTGGGATGGCAGACCCATACTACCACACCCAGCCATTGGTTGAGATGGGGTCTCGCTAATTTTTTGCACTGTCTGGCCTGAAGCCACGATCCTCCCAATCTCAGCTTCTTGTGAGCTGCAGCTCCAGCCAGATACCTGCATATATCTGGTCTACCAGTGTTAGTTTTTTTTAGTTTTTCTGAGGTAAAATTAACATGCAGCAAAATGCACATACTTAAAGTGTACCATCCAGTGATTTTTGATAGATGTGTATCCCCATCGACCATCACCACGCGCAAGAGAAGGGATGTATCCATCACCCTCTGAAATCCACCCTCTATTCCCCATCCTCTCCCTCCCCCAGCCCTTCACCCAGCCCCAGGCAAGTGTTGATCTATTTTCTGTCAATATGATTCCTTTTTATTTTCTGGATTTTTACATAAATAGAATCATACAGAGTCTATGTTTTTTTTTTGGCTTCTTTCATTCCACATAAATATTTTCATAGTTCTCATGTTATACAGTGCATCCTATTTCGCTCTTTGTTACTGCTGAGTAGTAGTCTATTGTATGGCTATACCACCATTCATCAACCTGCTGACCACATCCGGGCACTTTCTGGCTTGGGGCAATCGCAAACAAAGCTGCTACTGAGGCAGGCTAGGATAAGAATTTCGGTACTCTGGCACCGTGAAAGTTTTCTCAGGACATTTCATGTTAAACTCCTTATCTCAGCCCAGTGCTACCCTTCGAAGTGTAAATTCCTCTTCTATTGTAAAATCTTAGCTATTGCAGGATCTTTTCAACTGTAAATCCTCTGCAGGTGCAAGACAGGAAGACTTGAGGAAATTCCACCCTATCCTCCATTACCTCTCAGGTAAAAGCCCTCTGTTTAAAATGTGACTATTGATCAGCTCACACGTGTAATTAAGATGGCTGAGAGTTAGCGTAAGTGCGTGTGCAGAGTGCCTGTTGGGTGACAAGACCTTGTCAGTGAAACCTGTCAATCACTGTGTAGCCCATCCTGCAAAGACCACCCAGGTTTTCCCCACCATTTGTCTTTTCAATTTACAAAGGCCCTTTAAAAAAGAAAC